CATGCCGATGCCCAGGTGGAACCCAGGCCGGGCTCTACCTCGGAGAAGCAATAAACCCCCCTGTTCTCCTGGCCGGCAGAGTCTCATCTTGCTGCTACGGGTGCAGGGTCGGGGGTCCCCGACGCGCCGCCACACCCGGCACTGGCCACTGTGGCCAGACAGCCCCCTGGCAAGATGGACCTCAGCTCTGAGCCCGTTGGGCCGCTCTCATGTCCCCTCCCCTCAGCCCCGGGCTCCTGTTGATACCTGGAGGCTCCGTTTCCTGCCCTTGGCTCCCGGGGGAATAGCGAGCGTCACTTGCCAGGAAACGGCGGCTGCGTTCGCACAGTAGCACTGGGCCCAGTGAAACCAGGGGCGGGCAGCAGTCGGCCCTGTGTGACGGCGCATTGGGGTTCCCCCGTCTCCTGCACCCCTGAAGTGGCATGAACAGACTCCACCAGCCAGTAGAACAGAGGGAGTTTATTGCTTCTCCAGGATACAGCATAGCACAGATGTCATCTGGTTACAGGAACTGGGGCTAAGAGGCCTCAGTGCCTCCCTTTGAGATGGGGGGGGGCTGCCTGGGCCCTACCTGTGTGACGGCGCATTGGGGTTCCCCCGTCTCCTGCACCCCTGAAGTGGCATGAACAGACTCCACCAGCCAGTAGAACAGAGGGAGTTTATTGCTTCTCCAGGATACAGCATAGCACAGATGTCATCTGGTTACAGGAACTGGGGCTAAGAGGCCTCAGTGCCTCCCTTTGAGATGGGGGGGGGCTGCCTGGGCCCTACAATCCCAGCCCACTCCCCAGCTCCTTCCCTAGGCTCTCCTCCATGCTCTCAGCCAGAAACTAACCCACTCTCTTCCAGCCCTGCCCCCCAGCCAGGGCCGGCATTCCACCTTCCTTTGTTTCTCTCCCTGAGGGGTAGCTGGTCAGACAGATTGAGAGACCCTCTTTGCATAATGACTCATCCCCTGTCTTGCTGGGCTGTGGTACCGACAGCAGCCAGTGGGGGTTACCACAGAGCCAGCATAGGAATCAGCCAGATACCCCCACTACGTCACACCCTGCCAGGCTCAGGAGCGCTGCCATGCGCAGAGAGGGCTTGGAAGCGGCTCTGACAGACTGGCAGGGGCGGCAGGGGTCAGTGCAGGAGGGCAGGGGTCAGTGCAGGAGCTGACAGGCAAGAACAAGAAGGGAGCTTGTCTGGGCAGCCCCAGGACAGCAGCAGAGGGGGGCAGAGAGTGCTCAGGAGGGCGGGAAATGTGTACTACAGGCGGGGGGAAATCCTGCACCTGGAGTGTAGTGTCCTGGCTGGCAGTGCCCCCACAGCTACCCCCTCACTCCCCAAGGAGGGGCTGGCCTGGCTGTAAGTGGGGAGAGGAAGCTGCGTTGCAACTGTGCTGGGCCTAGCTCTTAGGGTATGTCTACATTAGCCTCCCTAGTTCAAAGTAGGGGGCTAGTGTAGACATTCCTTTCCTGAGCAAGCGGACTCACAGGCGGACGGAGGGACAGGTCCCACAGTAGGCTGCGCTGCGGGCTGTTCCGTGCGCCAGGAGTGGGAGTTTTCTCTCAGCCCCAAGAAGCTGAGCAGCTGGATGAGCTGGAGAGCCAGCTTGGAGCAGGGAGAGCCCATCTGCTCCCAGTGCAGGTCCCGGGGCCCGGCGGCGGCGTGGTGGCGCCACACGGCTGTCTCATGATGCTGCCATGCTGCCCTCACCAGCCCACGTGGCGCGCGGTGCCTGGGGAGCTGCGGGCGGCCGGCGAGCGTGACCCTCTGTCTCCCCACAGGTGCCAGGGTGGGTGTGGTGCAATACAGCCACGAGGGGACTTTTGAGGCCATCCGGATGGATGACGAGCGCATCAACTCGCTGTCCAGCTTCAAGGAGGCTGTGAAGGGCCTGGAGTGGATCGCAGGGGGCACCTGGACACCCTCCGCCCTGCAGTTCGAGCCGGCGCGAGAAGGCCCGCGTCTTCGCCGTGGTGGTGACGGACGGGCGCCACGACCCACGGGACGATGACGACAACCTGCAGGCCTTCTGCCAGGGGGACGTGATCGTCAACGCCATCGGCATCGGGGACATGTTCGACCAGCCGGACCAGGGCGAGACCCTGCGCTCCATCGCCTGCGACAACCCGCAGCGGGTCCGCAAGATGAAGCTCTTCTCGGAGCTGGTGGCTGAGGAATTCACTGACGACATGGAGGAAGTGCTGTGCCCAGGTCTGCCCCACTGGCGGCGAGTGAGGGGGCGGGGGCGTGCGCTGGGGACACAGGGACCTGGCGCTGAGGTGAGGCCCTGTGGGGCGGGGCGCAGGGCTGCGGTGGGTACGTCTCGCTGCTGCCTAACCGGCTCCTGCCCAGCTGGAGTGCAGCCCCCGCCACGTGTGTCCTCCCCGCCCATCCCAGCGTGGGAGGCCTGGCCTGCTGCTGCAACAGCCTGGGGTGGGGCCAGCGCCATCTCACCAGCTGCTCCTTTGGTCTTCTTCCAGATCCCCAGATCGTCTGCCCAGAGCTGCCCTGCCAGACAGGTAAAACCAGCACCAGGCGGCTCCGTGCCGCCTGTGCCACACACTGGTGTCATGGGCTGTGGGGCGGGGGGACACTAGACTTGCTAGCCACACCGCACGCATGGGGTGGGGGCAGAGATGGGGCAGTCCCCTTACTCCAAGGGAAGCCCCAGTTTCCCTCCTCCCCAGGCAGGCATGTGTGCAGAGCTGCCATGAACAGCCCTCTCCTCATGCAGGGGAGATGGAGTCAAACCTGGGCCCCCGATCCTAGAGCCCCAGGGAATTGGGTAGGGCTTGCAGTCCACTCTGGATTTGGACTGCTCATGTGGCTCCCTGCCCTTGAAAGAGTTTTTAAGACAGAAGCCTCTGGGGCAATGTATTTTAAGGTCTCCTGCAGGCCCCACTTTCTGCACTCGGAGTGCCGGAGTGGGGAACAGCATTGACATGGTGGCAGAGGTGGGATGTTTGGAAAAGAACAGCGCTCCTGGCCCCGTCTCTGTTACCGGCTGAGCCGAAACCCAGAGCCAAGCTGCCCACCCTTTAGAAATCCAGCCCTGCAGGCCCCTAGGATGGGACAGGATGGGATGGGGAAGGGGTGGGCCGTCCTGTGCAGCTGGCTGTACGGGATTGAACCAGTGGTGCTGAGCTGGGCAGGAGGGTCAAAGGGGCTGAGTGTTGGGGCAGGATGACCCTGTTCAGGGAGAGGCAGATGCTGCTCGGAGCGGCTCCCATTCCTTGGCCCATATTCTGCTTAGTAATTGGCAACGCTCCACCCTCAGCTAGTGCCACTTACACAGAAAGTGCCACTTCTCCCTCTGCAGCCCTGCCCTGTGCAGCTTGAAAGCTCGTCTCTTTCCCCAGCCAAAACTGAGCCCATCACAGACGCTACATCGGCCTCCCTCATCCCGG